AATGAACCAAAATACTCAAAAAGTTAAGATTACATCCAATCCCACACAAAGTTCTAACTGTTCATGTCATATAAAACAACAAGGAAATACATAGGAAAGAGATAGAAATTAGTTCTCCAATGATGTAGTTGCTTCCTCACACTTCTCCTCTTGCTCTGCACTCACAAAATTAGGTCAATGATGTGTTCGGGCTCTAAATCCCTCTCTGTCTCTCCCTTTTTGAGTTGAATCTTCTATCTTTATAAGACAATAAGTGAATTCTCACTCAAGCGAGCCTATTTTTACTCAAGCAAAAAATAACTCGAGAGCAAAGTCTGTTGTAAGATTTTTCGCTCAAGCACCATTTCTTGCCCAGATTCTCACTCAAGGGAGAAAACCAACAAAAAAAATATGGTGTGAATTCTGCATTTTGCACTCAAGCGAGGTAATTCTTGCTTGAGCGAGACTTGAAATTCTAGGAGACTTCAACAAATTTGACTTATCTTCAAAAAATATAAAAAATAAAAAACAATTCCAAATCTAGCAAACCATATATACATTTTGAAGCTCTGTATATGTAGAATCCAATCCAACTAGAATCAGACAAAAATAATATTTATAAAAAAAGTTATGGCTAAAAGAGTTGATAGAGGTCAGATTGGCTGAAAATACAAAAGTATAACATTCATATAGAACAAGTCCAAATCATTCCTATTAATAAGAAATGGTAAAAAAATCTCAAAATAAGGCATATGAAGGATGTTTTGAAGACACAATAAAGTTATAAATGTGAACACCTCATCAAGCCTTTGCTCATAATAAAATTCACACAAGAGAAGTGGATCAAATATCTTCTATTATTTGACAAAATTAAGGATAAAATTGCTGAATTTAAATGACATGAACTTAAATGCATTAAAATATAAATTGCATGAAATTTAATTACAAACCATGTGAAAAGAAAGCAAATAAGTGTCAAAATATATATTGACAACTACTAAAATATAACACTAATCAATTGAGCACCTGTAAGTTATACTTCTACTATTTTTGAAGTCTTCACTTCAATATATTTACAAAACCAATTAGTGCTTCATATGATATAGTGTAAGAAATATACGTATAAATTAGTTTTTCACATGTAAATTTCACACCTTAACTCGTATTTGTAACAATCTCATTATTAAAGACCACTTTATTTGCACTCATTTCTTTCTTCAACCATAAAGTAATAAAATGAAGAATGGAATGGTAAGATTCAGTGAAAAGAAATGGAAAGCTTAAGAGAAATGAAATAAAAATCTTAAAGTGCAATTTGCTACAAATAACAAATGTCTATTTATAAAATTAAATTTTAAAAATTGTCATCGACGATTTTACTTTTTAAAACTTGTTATTAACAATTTTTGCTTGCAAAAAAATGTTTTTTTTTTCTATTTTAACCATTGACAATTTTTTGGTTTTATTTTAATTTTTTAAGCTCACTATTAATAATTTTTGAAGATATAAAATTATTATTATTTATTTAAAACTTGTTATCGGTAACTTTTCGTTTTAAGTAATTTTTTCATTTTCAAAGCCATCGTTGACAAGTTTTCAAAATTTCATATTCAGATAATACTTTTTAAAAGCACATATTCTGGTAATTTCATAAATAAAAAATCCATATTAAAATAAAATAACCCCAATTATGAATATATGTTATAAGTGGGCAGAATTAGATGTGCCTCAATATATATACATGTTTTCACTAACTTTGTGATTAAAAAAAAGAAAAATTTAATAATTCAATGATAATAAGTTTAAATTAATACTCTTTCTATTTATTTATTAAAAATATACAAAAGCAATGATAAAACTTTATATAATGTATTATTTCATTAAATCTTGATTAAAATATTTTATTTAAATTTTACCTATTTTATTTATTATATTTTTAAATTTTTTATATTATTATTTGATGGATGAAAAAATGATAAATAGAAAATATAATTAAATTAATTGGTTGAAGTATTAATTTATATATTAAATTTGGTATATTTAGAAAAAATAAAATAATCTGAAATATTTAAATCAAAAACTATATAGCATAAGTAACAGTAAAAATAAAAAGGAAATAGATGGAGTATATTAAACTTTGATGCATTTCCCATATAAAAAGTACACTTGATAAATTAAATTAAATTAGTAAGTATATGAGTCAAATTCATTAAATGATGTCTCAACACATCATTAAACATTAGTATATCAAAATTCAATTCAACATATATTAAATATAAAGTTGTCAGTAGTATTTTTTTCTGGCTTTATATCCATTTAAAATCTTGACGCATTTACCATATGGTTTACGAAAACCATTAATACAGACATACGGCCAATTTTAAACCAGAAGTGCATCTGTTCATTATCTGACTTCAAATGGCCACAACACATTTATTTGACTGACCAATTGGACCACCGTTTAATTGTGTCTGCAAATGGAACGGGGTCAGTCATAAAAGCGATGCTGCATCAACTTGTTTTTTTTTTATTATTATTATTTCAAATTCTTACGAGACACTTTAAATGTGATTTTGAAACAATTATTACCGAAATTAATATTATTAATTATGTGATAACTCATAATTAAAAGATATTGTAAAAAAGCTTTTAACTATTAGTTTATAATAATTAAATTCTTTTTTCAGTATGAAATTTTTTATTCAATCATTCAATTATAAACTATTATATAATTTAAACTTATTAACTTAATAATAATTGCTTTAAACCTATATTTATGACAATATTTTAATATATTAACACTTGACGGTTAAACATTCTTTTACACTGATAATATATTAAAACTAAACTCATATAAACTCTTCAAACCATTTTTATAAACTCTATTTCAGAATAAATTTTTTTCTTAGTTTATTTCTCTTGTCAAATTTTCTTCCTTGAACAATATCTCTTACATGGACATTCATTTGTCACTGAACATACTATGTGGGAATACATGAAGCAAGTAACAAAACTCTCCCTCTAAGACACTTCTTTCTCGATTTGAAACGTGAGTCTTGAATGGGCTCTACATGTCTTCGAGGACTAACGTAATTGAAACACAAACTTTGGATTGAGTTTGGATTAACAGAGAAGGATAGAATGAAATAAAATAGTATGATAATTAGTTTGGATTAATACATAATCTGTGGCATGAAGGAATGGCATCGTGCTTTGCTTCTAAACCCCTGAAACGGAGATGACCTCGTCCCATGTCGCAAATGACAATCTTAACGTTCAAGCTCGAATTCAAGGAAAGAAAGTTTAACTAGTAGGTTACATTCAGTCAATGGACTTTCTAATGTGTGATTTGAAAAGTTTACAATATAAAAACTAGAGAAGCAGAAAAAGACAGGAATTTGTGTATTCAGTGACCTAGAATGGCATATAAACAGACGTAATTTTACATTACGATGAATTTCAATTTAAATATTTTTAACCACTCTATGGACTAGACAGTGTCTTGTATTCACAGTCCACTGAATCCTTTAAAATAAGAAAAATATTAACCAGTAAGGATATAAATTAGGAAATTAAAACTAATTTTTTTATTAAAGTAATATAATATATAGCACTCCTTTCAAGATTTTCAATCCATTACTAATGTAATTTTTAATAATATTTTATTTTTTAATTTCTGAACAAGTATATTAATTGACAAGACTCTTAAAATATAAACTTGTATTTTCAAACTATAGAATTATATTTTTTTTTGTACTGAAAATGTAATTGTTTAACGCGTGATCTGAAAAGTTTTTGTACATAATATGGTTTGTGGTTCTAATACTTGCAAGTTTAAGCTGAAATACAGAGGGTAGTTTTAGAATTTTAAACTCTTTTTGTCGGGTTTCTAATAGATATATTTGATAAGAAATAAATAATCTTGCTGAAAGTAAGGCTAAGTATTAAACGTAAACGTTTTTCCCAACCTAAAATATGGTTTGGCCATAATTTAGATTTCTAAAGTCAATAATAGGCCATAATTTAGATTTAAATTAAACGTCAATGGAAGAAAGTAGAGTGAGTGAGAAAAAGAAAAAGGTGAAAGAAATTAATATCCTTTACAATATTTAAGTTCTAATTGATGTGGACAATCTTGTACTATCAATCGATGGCTTTTTGAGTTTGCACTCAATACATATTTTTCATGTATAATTATTGCTATCTTATATTATGTTATAGATGGTGATATTATCGATCCAATTAAGCTGGCTCAACACGGGTAATTGACTCATCATGTTAATTTTGTCAAACAAAAAAAGTAGGTAAAGTTCTCGAGTCAAGAGAGTGGTTGAAGTTTGGGTAAGTAGTTTGTGGAAAACTTGTTTGTGATTTTAGTCAGTTACCCCGTTTAGAAATTGTAAGAAGACGAAGAAAATAAGACTCGTCAATGGTCAAACATTACGAAATTCCACAAAGCCCAGAGGGTTATGTGAACTCATTGACCGCACTTTCTAAGGCAGGTATCCCGCCACTAACACCATTCCCATGAACTTGTCTGTTCTCGGATAGATGAACGCAGCCAAATGCATAAGCAATCTTCTCCAAGTGATTTGCTAATCTTGTTTTTTTTTTTAAATAATTATAATTAGAAAATAATACTCAAATTTGTGTGAGATTGATTTACAAAGTATCAAAGGTGTTTAAAATTTTAAATGAAATCGGAGTTCCTGCTTCAGTATTAAGACATTATTATCGCCTAAACAATAACACACGAGTTCTAATGGGTACAAAAGAAAAATCAGCGACCGTTAGGGTCTCCCAGAGAAACAAAAGTTCAGTCCAAAGGTGCGTTTCAAATTTCAACAAGTTTGTAAAATATTTTAGCTTGATGAGTCAAACAAAGAAAGATGTCGTTTTCCTCTTCAATATGACCCTTCCCCTCTGTCATGTTTTCCTGCTATAGTCCCATTGTCATTAGAGGCAAGCTTTGACCAAAGACCACACACCCCATTTAAATCAACCACACACAAAAATCACTACACCGTATATAACCCTTTTCTCTTCTCCTATCTTGTGCTGTGTGTGTAAGACTGATAAAAAAAGAAAAAAGAATTCAGAGACAACAAAGAATAAAACTATGGCAAAGGTAAGGGAGAAGCTATACATCACCGTTCCGAACCTTTTCCGGTGCCCAATCTCTATGGACGTAATGAGGTCTCCCGTAAGCCTGTGCACCGGCGTCACATATGATCGCTCCAGCATTCAGCACTGGCTCGACTCAGGTCATGACACGTGTCCCGCTACTATGCAAGTTCTTCCCTCCAAGGACTTCATCCCCAACCTCACCCTCCACCGCCTCATCCGTCTCTGGCTTCTCTCCGGCGAACCTTCGCCGGATTCCCGAACCTCCGGCGACCAACTCCGTGCTCTCCTCCGCGGAATCCAAACCGCCGACGAAAACCTCGCCGTTTTTCTCTCCAAGATCGCCGAATTCGCCAAACTTTCCGGTGAAAACCCCCGATTACTAGCCACCTTCCCTGGCTTTGACTCCGCCATCGTTCGCGCTCTTGCCAGAAGTGCTTCGCGGATCGACGCGACAGAAAACGCGATTTCAATTCTCGATTCAGTTTTCCGGGAAAACGGAGATTCAGCCGTCGCCGGAGAGAAAATCCGACGGTTGATTCTCGACGCTCGCGAAGAATGCTTCGTTTCGATGATATCCGTTTTGAGAAACGGCTCGTTGCGATCGAAGATTGAAGCGGTTAGGATATTGGAGTTTCTAGCCGGGGATTTCCAATCGAAGAAATCAATCGCCGAAACGCGAAGTTTGTTGTCGTTGCTCACGAGCGTTTTGAAGGACGGGGGAGAGGAGATAAACGACGCCGTTTTGTCGCTACTGGCTGTCGTTTCGGTGACTCAGTCAGCGAAGGTTGAACTTGTTAGGTGCGGACTCGTTGATGTGCTTTCGAAGATGTTGCGAAACTCGTCGTGTTCGTCGACGACGGCGGAGAGGTGCCTGAGGATGCTGGCGGTGGTGGCGACATGCGCGGATGGGAGGGCAGCAATGGCGGAGGAGCCGTCGTGCGCTATCGCGGTGGTGGAGAGGGTGCCGAAGGTGCCGAAGGCCGCAGCAGAGGATGCGGTGGTGGTGTTGTGGAGCCTGTGCTGTTTGTGCGGAAACGTTAAAGTGAGGGATGACGTGGCAAAGCGAAACGGCGTCGCGGTGATCCTTTTGGTTATGCAGAGGGGGTGGGAGGATCACGTGAGGGGCATGTGCGTCGATTTGATCAAGGTTTTGAGGGGTGCGTGCAAGAACCCGTTGGAACTGGGAAGCTATGACACCAAAACCACTCATATCAAACCTTGCTAATGTTGAACCATATTTTTTACTTTTTGGTGAATAGTTGACCCTCTTTTTAGCATGCAACATAAGAATGTTTCATGTTGAGCTTACTCTGTTCTTCATCCTTTTGGAAAGAAAGATAATGTATATTGTTGCGAGAATAATGTTTGAATACAATGAAACAGAAGGAAAACAAATTTAATTTGAGATCTCCGTATTTTCTTAGGGCATAAAAATATATAGATTGATTTGCAAGAACTTGCTCTTTCATCTACTGAGAAACAGAAAAAGGTTTTTTGATTTTGGTGATGCCTTATGCATTCAAAGGTTTTTCATTTCGTTCACCCTAGGGAGGCAATGACGTAGGTGCATCCATGTTTGATTTCTACACCCAAATTGGATCCATCATGAACATCCAAACTAAAAGAGACCCAACACTCACCCAGAGCTAGGCCATGAACCAACCTGCCAACTTGTTCCAGAAGTTTCGCCAGAATCTCCATACGCTAATTTATTGGGTTAACTGTAGATATTTATATGGCTTGAAATCCGAACGCAATGGGACAGAAAACATAACATGAAACCAAGTCTTCCACATACTTGTAATTTATGTTTGAATACTGTCCAAAAGGAAGAGGATTGATACATGTAAGACCCTCTTCTTTCTTTGTTAATATTGGAAAGTTCTATTGTTTTGAAGGAAGAGGATTACAAAGGTAAAGAAATTTTTAGAATTGAGTAAGGCGTTAGCCAAGTTCAAGAAAATGTAACTCCCGTCGGAAAAGTCTTTCATGCTCAGAGAGTTCGTTGCCAGCTAAGAGTGGCAATTGCAGAGAGGAGTGGTAGGTAGTAAGCTTGGTTTCATGGCATTTTCGTGAAATAAAAAAATAAAAGCTAATTATGTATTTGCTGTGATGGGAGAAACACAGTAAACGGTAGGTTGAAATAAGACTGTAAAGTAGAAAAAGTTCAAAGATGTTGTTAATATACATACATCACAATTTATATATATATAAACTTTCTCTAAATAAAATTTATTTTAAATTATTACTCATTAATTATTTATTTTAATAATTAACTAATTTTTTTGTATGTTTGTACATAATGTTAACTTCTTTCAATTAAATAATGACATAACCTTTAATCTCTTTCTTCCACTTTATTTTTAAATTTTTACGTTACAAATTTACATTAATATTTTATTTTTAAAAAAATTAATATTTAAGCACAAAGAACTTTAATTTTAAAAAAAATAAAATTTATATAAACTTAAATTTTAAATTTTTTAAAAAATAAAATACTAATGTTGATTTGTGACGTTAAAGAAAAAGATTAGAATGACACGATAAACTATTATTTGACAGAAATTAACATAAAATATAAAATTAAAAAAATTAATTAGATATTAAAATAAAAAATAAATTTAATAAGTAGTAATTTAAAATAAAATTTATTTTAAAGTAGTTAAAATATTATATATATATATATATATATATATATATATATATTCTAATAACATGTGACTCTTTACATTGATCATTAGAGTTATATAAATTTGATTTGATTTTAAAAAAAATTTAATTATTTTAAAACTACGAAAGAGTTAGATGTAAAAATATTATAAGTTGAAGTATTTAACACACAAAATTTTAAACATGAATTTATTAACGAGAGTTTATTCAAATGATATATAATTTTTCTTTTAAATAATGCTAGCTACAATTTTTAGATTTAAGTATAAATATTTAATAATAGTATAATAAATATAATTTTAATAAAAAAAATAGATATTTAAATTTAATAATAAAGACTAAAATTATCAATTTTATAACAATTTAAATCAAATTGTATTTCACAAAAATTATTGTTAACCAAATCAATTTTATCATGACAATTTTTCACAACAACTAGTTTTATGCAGATCAATGGTGGCATGCTCTTCTCATACCACATGCATCGTGCTATTACTAAAATGTTAAAAGTTTAGGGTGGGTATTTGTCAAATTCAATTTTAGAAAATTCAAAATCAAAGATCAATATCTCTATACTATGACTCATTTTTGTTAGAGACAGTAATACAATTTGATAGGTATCGCTTCAAATGAGCAAGTTAAGCATGTGGATTTAAATAGATTTATTGAAACACAATTTGAGTATTCTTTGTGCCTTGAATCTTGAGAAACAAATGCATCTTCTTAACTAGAAGGTAGTGGAAGAAAGTAGGCTTAAGAACCTGAAATTGTAGCACTTGCATGGAATTTTAGATAGTGACTATTGGTAGACTCTCTTGGTATGAATACTAGCATCTAGCTAACATTTGATTAGTCTTCCTTTAGCTTTAGAGGGGAGTAATTTAACTTCAATACAAAACCAAACCATTAAAGAAGCTTTAGATGAGTGGGCTAGGCAGGTGGATTTAAACAGATTTATTAAAATACAACTTGAGTATTCTTTATAGTTTGAATCTTGAGAAGCAAATATATCTTCTTAACTGGAAGGTAATGGAAAAAAGTAGGCTTGAGAATCTCAAATTCTAACACTTGCATGAAATTTTTTATAATGGTTATTGGTAGATTCTCTTAGTGAGTACTAGCATCTTGTTAACATCGGCTCGGACTTCCTTTAACTTTAGAAAGGAGTAATTTAACTTCAATACAAAACCAAACCATTGAAGAAAACAACATGGGCCTTGACCTAATAGTATCCATACATTTGGGAAGTGACATTCAATTTAGTAATAGTAATAGCACAACATCTTTAACTACAAGGAAAATGAAAAAAAAAAAACAAAAATAACTAACAACTAATCAGTTTTCTTTATGAGATTCAAAAGGAATCTCATAATGCAAAAACACTAAAGTTCTACCACATCTTTTTTTTCACATAAGCCCACACAAAACTCCAACTTGCAACCCAAATCTATTATATTGTATCTGATTATTTTGCTATTGAAGTTGTAAAGAAGGACACACAGAATGAGACAAAGATAAAGAATGTGTGTATTTCATGCTTTTGTAGCCAAACTCACACCTTTTGTTCTAAACTTGTTTTTCCCTAAATTGAATCACCTTGTTGCTTTTGTCTCACAAGTTGCTAAACCTATGAAGCCAACAAACCAAAAAAATAAATAAAATTAATAAAATTAAATAGCTAAACTTGAACAAACTCAACTAATCTAATTGAAGTTCTGATAAGAGTAGAAGAAAGAGGTCAAAGAACCGTGAAAAGTGAGAACAAAGCCTAGAGAAAAAAGCAGTATGACAAACACAAAGGTAAAAGAGAACCAATATCCTCAAAGCAAAGGATGAGAGCCAGACGAGACTTAAGAATGAAACTAAATAAGGGGAATTAGTGTTAGAAATTGTGACATTAACATGAAAAAAGTGAGGTAGGGTGTGAACAACGAATCATCATATGCTAGGACTTAGAGTGACAATAACATACTCTATGAGCCACTTCCCTTCTATCTCCTCCTCCTTCATCTTATTTTTATCAATCAAATCCTAAAACCTATTATTCTTTCTCATACTCGCAAACAAAACCTATTATTCTTATTAGTTAGATGGTGGGGCAATTACTTACCAAGATAATGATCAGCCACACTAGGATTGAGATAAGGAGAAATGGAAATTTTTGAAGTTATAAATTTGCTTGAAAAAGTTGATTAGAAAAGGGATAACAAGTTTTTACTTAAAGAAAATTACTTGAAAAGATAATTTAAAATGGTTAAGATTTACCATTTCTTCTAAAAAAATTCTTATTTGAGCTAGTCAAAATTGATATTTTGACACAATTTTGCATAACATAACTTTAGTAAGATTTTAATAAAAATATGTCATTTTGATGAGTTTCATAAAAAAAATTGGTGGCCTAAGAAACATTAATTTTTAGTTGAAAAAGAAGTGATTTTTCAACAAATTTTTGGATAAATTATGGCTAAGGAAAAATATGATTATTCAATTAAAATGAAAAGACATTTCAATGAGTTTTATAATAAATTAATGACATAAGAACATGGTTTTTTGATCGAAAAGGAAGAGAATTTCAATAAGTTCTTGACGCAAAGTATAGCCAAAAGCACTGATTTATTAGTTGACTTAAAGTTAACATTTTAAATTGCATCAACATTCTTTAGATTTGTTAGTTAACTTAAAGATATAACTAAAGTCTTATTTACAAATCTAAGACCAAAGATCTTTTTTACTTCCTTCCATCAATCCAATTTATGCATATCGATATAAGACAACATGCATGTTGGAGTGCTAACTATCTCTTTTATTATATTCGTCCAAAGATAAATGTTGAGAATATAACTCAAACTTTTTTTTTTCCTAAATTTTTCTATATAAAATTTGAATAAAAATGGATTTAAATTCATTCAACTTATATCTTATTAAAAAAATATAAAGCTATGTAAACTTTGAATATAAAATTAAAGGATTTAAATCATTTCCAGTTTGTATGAGAATAAAATATTTAATTTCATTTTCGCTTAAACAAAAATGACTTTATTGAATTTTTCTTAAACAATTTGATATTTGCTCAAGTAAAAATTGCTTCGCATGTTTAACCCAACTTGAAAGAACTAGTTGATTGTACAATTTGTCTTTGTGAGTTCTTAGAATAATATAAGCTAATATTGTTTCCTTACTACAGAAATGACATGTTCAATAAAAAAGGTAAATGCTCTTAAACTAACAATAATGTATGAATATTTTTTTTTTGACATCTTTTTTTGAATGAATATTGGGTGATTTAAACAAAAATTTTTAAAGTCATTTTTTGTTTAAACAAAAATAAAATTAAATATCTTTTTTTATGCAAATTAAAAAAATTTAAATCTAAAATGAAACTAATAATAATAACAATAATATATCACGCTTAAATATGTGTCCAGTTATGTAAAACTTATAATATTAGACTTTATCATATTAATCTACCATAACATACCTCAACTAAGTAAGATACATATATTAATTGTAACTTTACAAGACTTGATTAATGTGAAAAGAAAATATTTAACATGGTCAAAAAGTTTAACAACTTTAATTATTATATGAATTTAGTTAAAGAAACAAATTTATTATTAATTTTCAATGCAATTAAATAATAATTTTAAATTATTTTTTCATCTTAATAAATTTGTAAGTCCATCTTTAACAAGTAAGACCTTAATGGACATTACATATGTTTCGTATCATTTACTTTCACCTGATTTTGTTTCTTTCACACTGTATGGGTTAAAAAAAAAATAAAGTAGACACAACTATCTTAATAAAAAAAAAGTAAAGGATTTTTCAATAAAATATATTTCTTAAAGATATGTTGTCTAGCTTACAAATGACATGCTACAAAAAAAATTGCAATTAAGCAAGAGGAAAATAAAAATAATAAGAAAATAAAAATTTTAAAACTTAATTAAAGAAAAATAAATATTTTTAAAATTATTTTTTACTTTTTTTTATATTTTCAAACCAAATAAAATTATATTATTATTTATATATTTCACTTTCTTTTTTCATCTAAACAAACAGGTGATTAGAAATTATTGAATCTCAAGACATGCCTACGGTTAGGGATTTAATTTTAATTTTTATCCTTTTCTTCAAATAAATTAAGAAAATTTTCTTTTTAATTTTTTAAAATTTTTTCCTCCTTATTCTCTCTCTTCCTATATATATACATCTTTTCTAATTTCTTTGACGATCCAACCAAAGGATGATGAAAATCCGTGAGACTAAATATTGAAAAAGATCAAATTCGGTGTCAGTGTGAAGCCTTCATGATCTATAAATACCACTATTATATCTTAAACTTTTGCTAGAAAAAAAATGAAAACCCAGGTTTATTAATTATTTTAATTAAAATAAAACACAGGGTACTGATTAACACGGTGATCGTTAAGATCATAATTAATTTTCATTGCAAGTGATTTCCCAGCATGTTCGTGCAGCAGAAGTTACCACTCTCAAGTCGTGTCTCGTGACCTCGACCACACCTGAGCGAGTAGCTGTAGCTAGCATCCACAGCAACACCAAAACCACCTCATCACCATCTGGGGTTAGGGTTTCTGTCATTCTCCATTTTACAAAATTAGGGTTTCTTCTCGCCATGACGGACGGCTTCTGGAACCGCCAACAGGCGCTTCTTCCCCACTCCGGCATGCTCAAACGACCGCGTTCCGACTATGGTTCGTTCTCTCTTCCGCATTTTCTTCCACCTTTCGCTCTCGTTTCTCTTTTGCTCTTTGTTTCGTGCCATTTGCCCTCTTTCTCTTTCGTAATTTGTGAAACTTTGCCATTGGGCGTTGCCATTTTGCCCCTTTTTGCTTTCGCTTTTTTGGGCTCCATTTTGAGTGGTTTTGTTGTCGTTTAAGGGTACCCCGTTAGTGAGGGGTGCGTGGCCTTCTGGGTTCTCACTTAGATGTGTAGGGTGCTTTCAAACTGATTGTGTCGTGCACGTGGCGTTCTTGCGGGTAGACGATCGATTTTCTGTTGAATTTCTCAAAGTTTTGCTTATGTAGGAAAAATAGTGCCTTTTCTTTGTGTCTATGATCTGGATTTAGGTGGTGAGAAATTTGTTATTTTTTAATTGAAAAAATTATATAATGTTTATGGACATGAATAATGATTGATTAGGAGGTGACAAGCCAAGTTCTGAATTAGGCAGCTATAACTCTATCAGGAAGTTATTAAGCAATTATAGGACAGAACATGATAGTTTTAGTGATATGTAAGTTGCATTACTGACATTAAAAGGTAATTACGGTGTCAGCTTGTTATTCCTTGTGTTTTGAGGGAGAAAACTCGTTAGGGGAAGCCCTATATGTGTGAGGGGGTACTCAAATCAAATCTGGCGTAAAAGCCAGATTATTATTATTATTATTACTTAATTTAGTGTGTTTATTTCTTGAGTATTGGTCCGACCTGCTGGATGCCATCAATGATGATGAATGATTGGAAAAGCACATCGAGGTAACGAATGCCGAGATACAAAAATCCAATTCTCACCAGATGTTATCCAATATATTTGAAGGGATTTTGGAGAAATGAGAGAAAGGCTTGACAATTTGGATACCATTCTACCATTGTTGAAGGATTTGAATTAAGCAAAAATAACTGATTAAAACTTCCTAGTTCAGAACTTGGCCAATCGGAAGGTTATGTGATAATTTTTCATTCAAAAAAATTCTCAAATAAAATGAATACAGAATTCAAAATGAAATATTAGCCCCTTCCATCCCTTCCCATTATAAGTCATCCATATCCAAACGTAAGGGGGATTGCTGATCCTTTTGTGTTTTTGTCTATCTATTTATTTATTTCGAGTTCATTCATATTTTGCACATTGAGATCCTTTTTGGTTGACTATATGAAGTATACAACACCATTGGGCTCTATCAAAAACTAAATTTTTAGTGATATTATTTATCATGAGATCCTTTTTGGTTGACTTTCTCCAAGGTTCCTTTTGGTTCCCTTTTACATTTTTTCACATGGCTAAAAACCATGTGATCAACTCTCTTCACTGGTGCTTTCAGTGGTCTTTGTACATGTCTAGACAACCTGAATTGATTTTCTTTCATCTTAATCTCTCTTCTTATACAATTATTTTTTACCTTGTCTCTTTTCATATACCACAAATCTATCTTAACATTCTCATTTCTATTACTCTCACTTTTTTCTCGTGTAGTCTCTTTAAGGCTAACATTCACTATCATATATAATAACTGGTCATATTCTAATTTAATAAAACTTCCTTTTAAGCTTGATAGATACTTCGTAGCTATATTTTATTAATAACTCTTGATGTATTTTTCTATTTTAATTACCTACTTTTTAATTTGTGTAATATCTTTATTAATTTCTCCACCATTTTGAAAGATAGATTCTAAACACTTAAATTTAAAATCTTGTGATAGGACATCATTTTCAATTTTAACCTCCAAATCAACTTCATTTTGTTTCTGCCTTAACACTAAATTCTTTATCCTTTAGTTTTGCATTTGTGGTGCAAAGATATTGTTTGGAAACACATACTGATCCCCTTTTGGCATTCTCACTTGAAGAATTATTCATACAGCGTTTTTATGCTTTTTGTCCAAGAATAGCACGTCTAGTTGAAGATTATAATTATCTACAATCTATATAGTGGAGTTATTGTGATGTCATGTAAATGGTGTTGAATTTGGTAATGTTTCCAATTGCTTTATATAGGTTTATATTAAGGAAGCTGATTATTTGGGCATGCCAAGTTAGGGTTTGATGAGATGATAGGGGTTAGGTCGTATTATCTTAATAATTCAATTGATAGAGGCATTCATTGGTGTGCAATATTCATCTGACACCTATATGTATGGCTTTACACAATTTCCTGGTGTTTTCAAGGGGTTATGTGTTAAACATAATATGATGGATGGATTATTAAATCTCAGTTTTTGTACACTGTAAATAACTTAGTGTTTTTTTTCCCTTCCAAATTAGCACAATGCAAAGAATCATGTGGATTATCAGTGTATTCATGTTTTAAGAACAGAGACATATGATAAGCTAAACTACTTGGGTGAAGTAGGAATCTAAGATGAAGTTGCTAGGTTAGTTGGAAGCTATTCTTGTCTCTATGCTTTTGAGATTTAAGTGATTAAGTTCTTACTGTATGTAGTTTCCATGACAAAAAGAGGAAATTTATTTTAGGTATCATTGGCATTTCTGAGCTTAAGTTTCAAGTATATCAGTAGATGCAACATTGACCAAGTGACCGCAGAAAAACAATCCTAAAATTTTGGGGGGGGTGGGGGGGGGTGGTCTTCAATGGTCATCCATAAATAGAAGTGCTTAAAACACTTTTTATTCTTTTTCATACTTCAACTCGAAAACAAAACTATTAATTCTTCTGGTATTCACCTCATTCACTATAGGGGAGATTTCTAAAATTTGTTTATTGGCAACAAAATAATCTTAGCACATGCTTCTGGTGTCAAGGAAATGGTTTTCATGATTATCTGAGAACAAAAATTTTCATGCTAGTATGTGATCACATTCCTTTTTCTGTTTAAGCGTTTTGGTTACTTGTTACATACCATTGTTTCAGATCATGGGCCCAAAGTTCCATGACTTTAGTATGTGAGAAAAAGGTTGGATAGAATTTAGGTGTTGCTGAGATTTGACATGAAAAAGAGAGTAAGAGTTTTACTACCTTAGTAACGTTTACTTGATTTAAAATAAATAAATAAATTGAAATGCACTGGCAGTGTAAATATTTTTTATATGATCATCCAATTGTGAATTACTACATCATTGAGCATTATTGACTCTTATAATAATTAATTTACAAGTCATATTTACTGTATATTTTAATGGGTTGACAAGATAAAAAGTTCTACATTGACAGTGCATCAGAATTAAACTTTTTTAAACATATAAAAATATTTTCATTTAATATGCTTGCTGCTTGGGGACAAATTTGTAAAATAAGGACAGAAAAACTATTTTACTTGGAAACTTTTTGTAGGACTGAATGACACAGGCTATATATGAACCACCGAAAATATTAAGAAAAGATTTGGGAAGAAAAGAAAAGCCTCCCAGAAAAGTGGGTCTAGCAAAACTTAGTTTTCTGATAAAAATTAGCTTATGATATTTCTTCCCATTCTTGCAGAAGTGGATCTTGCAAAACTTAATTTTCCTTTATTTTTATAATTCATCCTGTATATATAGGTTCAATTTTCTGATTTGGATCAGCATTTGGCATTTCTTTTATGGTGATTCTACCTGCAAATGAGCAGAATGAAAAAGATTCAATCCCCATATTTGGGGTTCAGTTACTCAAACCTCTCACTAGTCTAGTTTGAACTCAACAATGATAAAAATCAAATCTTATCGGTGGGTTTGGCTTCATGGAGCAGCTAGTGTCATAGGGCTTAATTGCACTTAAGGCAAGTTGAGTCCTCTGCAATAATCCATGAATACATCATCTGTTGTCAGGATTTAGGCTGCACTATGACTTCACTAGTGTTGTCTTTTTGGAATTCCCTGTTGCCTTTACAGTGTTTCCGTTTTCTTTGTGGTTAGTATTTAGTTTTGGGCTTGACACTATAGATGACTTGCTGTTTTGGTTGTTTAGTTAGCTGTAGTTTTGTCAAAGACAGATTGAAGAAATGTATCTATAAACCTTTTGACGATGGATAATGAGTAAATAGAAATATAGCATGATTAGAAGTGCGAGCGAATGATCTAAATATGACATTACCATAGGATTTGAGTTGGAGTAGTAAAAGAAACTTTTAAGAGGATGGACAATGGTAAAGCAGTTGGCTCCGATAATATCCCTATTGAAGTTTGGGAAAACAAAGACCTGAGTGACTCACTAATATCTTTAATGAGATCTTGAGATATAAGAAATGTTAGATGAATAGAAGAAAAACACTTTGCTTCATAGTTGTCAATAGCGCGCGATTGCAGTGGTGTTGGTGGAGCGGTCTTTGGCCGCTACAGATCTGGCATAGGGGCGCATTTTTTCTGTTGCGTCCATCACGACCAATGGTGGCTGTATCTGCAGCCCAAAATGCGGCCATTTACAGTGCAATAGTGCCATCACAGGGAAAGATATTATCTTTCCTTATTTTACCCTCAAAGTGAACGAATTTTAGGGTGTTTTTAATGGTAAAAAAGGCTTTTAATATTTAAGAAATAAGCTAATTTTTCCTTTTGCCCTTATGATGACACAATTTTTATGTTTTTTAAGGGCAAAATAGTCAAAATGAAATAGGTAAGGAAATGAAATGTTAAAAAAATCATATTTATTTGAAAGGGGAATACAAAATGAGAGAATTCCCAAAAGGACAGAGATGAAAGTAATCCTAATTGTCAAAACTTGTTCAGGCTTCGAAAAGGTATTATTTGTCTTCACCAATAACCTTTGCTATTCTTCTTGTAAGCCCTAATCATTCCTTCAATAGGGTTCTCAAAAACCCTTGAAATTCTCTTAAAATAAACCACCAGGTAGCAAAGCATGACTGTGCATACCTGCCTGTCAAGCACAGCTGTGCTGGTCCACAAAGCATTCTCATGCCGAATGCTAAGCATGGTTGTGCTAGTTTATGAAATACTCTCATGCTGAAATGTTAAGCATGGTCATGCTTGTTGCTAAGCATGACTCTACTGGTTACTCATGCTTTTCATCAAATTTTTTCCGATTGCAACTAAAATGCTTCCACAATTCATTGGTAGTTGCTTCATGCTAAGATGCAATAACACATAAATCAATGCAAAATTTTCATCAAGTAAAGGCTAAGTATTTTGTATTTGTAGTCACAACCTCACCAAGTTGAATGAGGCTTGGTTGTATGTGCTCAGTTACAGAGGTGATAGTGGTGTTGGCATATTTGTTTGATGTGCAGCATGTTTGGGTACTTTTTAGCTTTTGGAAAGCCCCAAACTGTGGATTTGGGGTTCCTAAAATTACATCAAACCTGCACTATCTTTTATTATATTCGGAATGAATATATTGTATTAGAGATGCAGACATTTTCAACATCGTGTTTACAGCTTTAGTGCTCTTTCTCAGTGAAATATAACACTAGAATTTTTATTTATTTATTTTTATCGTTATTATTGTTACATTGCAGATATGCCAGCTTCTGGTCTGTCTTCAGGTAATGAGATGCATAATTATATTGCTCGTGATGATGATCGGACCAGTCAGAGGATGCTAAAGGACACAAAAACAATTGGATCTGCTTATGACCGCTACCTTCAGAGTGGGGTAACATTTCATTTTGTTATTTTTGCTTTGATATTTCACTGTTTATTTATTGGGCACTTTCAAGTTTGTCTCTGAAAACATCATCCTGTTGGATTTTGAAGCAACTTTCTTCATTCACTTCTGGGGAAGCCAGTACGGTAGGGGGTCTTGGGTTGGCAAGGGGTGTCGGTGGATTACCAGGCCATTCACTAGCTGATCCTGCTGTCATGGGGCGTCATGGGGGTGGTGGTCCTGATCTTGCACCAAATGGACGGGGTGTTAATTATGGTGGTCAGCTAACAGTAGATGCAGTTTCCAGGCCTGGACCTGAGACAGTACCTTTACCTCCAGATGCTTCAAGTACTTTATATGTTGAAGGTCTTCCTTCTGATAGCACAAGAAGAGAAGTAGCTCGTATCCTTTTCATTCTGATACAATCCTTGGTATTTTATGTTCTTGTGTTCATCTATGTCTGAACCTTATTGATTTTACTTCATTTATTCAATATTCCTTGACATCACCTTAGATATTTTCCGCCCTTTTGTTGGGTATAGAGAAGTGAGACTTGTGAGCAAAGAATCCAAACATGTAAGTGTGCTATTTGTTACAGATGTCTGTGTGTTTTTTTGTTTGATTGGTCAAAGGTTACGAATCACTCTATCCTGAACTGCCTGTTTGTTGCAGCGTGGTGGAGATCCTTTAATCCTTTGTTTTGTGGACTTTGCAAATCCAGCTTGTGCAGCCACTGCTATGATTGCCTTGCAAGGTATAAAAGGGAATTAGTTACATGCTTTTGTTTTGTATATTATTTACTCAATCACTTAAATACGAGATAATATGTTGATGAAAGTTGTGAAAATAGAGAATGCACTGGGACAGTGTTTGGTCTGCAAACAGAACAGATTGGGAACATCTGTTTTGTTCTCATTGGTATCACCCTCTTTTAGTGAAACCAAAATGTAACTCTTTTCAATCTCATCCTGTTCTGATTTATTTTAAATGCATGCCTTTAGTGAAACCACTATATATCACTTTTCAACCTCATTTCTTGTTCTGTTTTACTTTTAGAATGCACCAATGGCAAACTATGTTATATTTTATCATGTTCTGTCATGCTTACCGTACACTACCTTTGGTTTGTTGGTACTCATGTTTGTTGGTATATTTTTTGAGTTTATTAGACGATCTCTAACGAGTAGTTTCCATATTTCATGATTTGTTTCCATATCTAAAATACGATTATGATTCTGGTATTGATATAAATAGGGGCTTGCATATTAGTATTATGTTTCCATATCACATGATTACTCACTACATATTAGTATTATATTTTATTATTGAGTTTATTCTCTTTTTTCCTCCTTTATCTAAATCATATGATTTCGACGAAATTATTATTGCCATCCCTATCATCAATATAATGAATTATGGGATCGTAGGAATTGTCTATTTGATCACCTGAAGTAGGATAGTTAAGAGAGCTGACCTTTATTAGTCATCTTTTTCTCTCTTTAATGGACTTGATTTTAAGTTGAATAACTACCAGATCAGCCTTTTAAATCTAGTGAAAACAATTTTGTTGATTAGTGATTAAAGGAAGTTGAAGTTCAATGGGAATACTAACTAGACAAGAACCAAAAAAGAAAAAAAAATCAATTTTAACAATTAAACTAGAATGTAATGCTATTTGTATGCTTATTGTGGTCAGCTTTTCTCCTATGGTTGGCAAAAATAACAGTTCGATGAGTATTTAATGATCTTCACATATTTATATGCCCAAACTATTTGGTTTTTGCTGACATTGTGGTTGGCATACAGGTTATAAAGTTGATGAGCTCAATCCCGAGTCTAGTCACTTGCGACTTCAGTTTTCTCGGTTTCCTGGTCCAAGAAGTGGACCTGCTTCACGTGGTAAGAGGTGAGCTGATTGTCATTGGCCATCAGGTTTTATGCTCGTCAGTCATCAGAATGTCGATGGTTTTCTTTACACCATCCTTTTGGGGGGCGACCCTTCACATGCGATTATATTTGCTCCCTCTGGCTACAAACCTTATTAGAGCCCCTTGAAAAATGCATAAATTATTAACAGGCCTAGATCAAAGTACAATTTCATTTTAGCGAAAATCCAACAAATGGAGATTTTTGGTGCGTCTATCTAATTACTCTGCTGTATCATTATTCCTAAATTAATTATTAACCTGGTGTCTGATTTATGGAAAGCGTTTCCTTTCTATTGCCCAATTAACTGTATTATTCCATTATTATATTTTGTTTCTTTAACAGTATCCATTATCCTGGGAGGTTCAGACCAACCACAATTGGGTATGTACTAATGTAATAAGTGGGTATCTAAAGGATTATTAGCTTAAAGGTCTGGGTGATATTAATAAATAAAGGTTTGTCTTTCCTCCAGGAGTCAGCTTTCTTTTAATGGTGCTAGGCCAGACTCCATAGGTTTCTGTGGATGTAACGAGGGATGAATTCAACTGAGCATTGTTGCTCCAAAATCTATATCCGGAAATAGGCACTATATAATATACTAGTTTAGACTAGACTTGTTTAAGGAGTTTGGTGCATGAACGCAATTTGGAAGAGATTATGAACAACTTAAGAAAATAGTTAATGATTTTTATCAGGTATTTTTAGCTTATTTTAATGAATTTCTGGATATGGCTTATCAAAATAAATTATTTTTAGCTTATTCAAATAAATTTATTGTTAAATTTATGACATTAGTCACGGTTTAAAAAGCATTTATTAAACAAAGTGCTTAAATAAACTGTATATTCTAATACACCCTTAATATGACCAGGATGAATGCTTGCGAGTCATGTAGGATTTGGTTATTGCTTGTCTTTGATGTCTTGTGTTCAGTTCAGATGCTTAATTGACGTAGAAAACGTGTTGTGTGAACATCATAACTCTGAAATTGATTAAAATTTTAATAAGACCTTCCGTAATTTGATTACAAGCGTCAGGACTTGAGTTGATTTTATTACGGCTTTGAAAGATTTAGGGTATGTTTTTCTTTAAAAGAAAAAATAAGGTTTTTTTTATTTTTATTTAAGGCAGGTTTAAATATTTACTATGATTAAGATTTTTGAAAAATGTTTTTGGAAATTTTTTTATGACTACATTTTTCAGACATTGATATTGGAAGCTTTTAATTTTTCGTTTTGTCACATTTCATTCTTAACATTTTTTAGAATAATTTTGTTTGTTTTAAGTTAAATTAAAAATTTAGTTCTAATACTTATTTTTTAATTTGGTTCTTATATATAAAAAGGATATAATTAAGTCTCTACATGCGTAAACAACTTTAAATTAGTTTGTGGTAAAAATATATTAACATTAAATAAAGACTAAAACATAAAAAGAAATATTGATATAGAGACTAAAATGTAAAAGTGGAGTACATGGACTAATTTATAGTTTATAAATTAAGTGTCAGCAATAGAAATTAAAAATGTATTACAGTAAATAATAAAAAATAAATTATGGACTTGTTTAGAAATAAAAAAAATTCACAAAATTTTAAGAACTAAACTTATATTTTTAAAGTAAATTTACATTTAGTGTAGTTTTATATATTAAAAATAATAAAAAATTTGTTTATAAAAAGCTATTTTTCAAATATTTTATAAAAATTAATATACAATAAAAATTATAAAAAAAATTAAAGCTAATACTTTATTTATTTATTTGAAGGTAAGATAAAAGATAAAAATATGAAATAAAAGTAATTTTAATTTTGACTCTTAAAAATAAATTTAAGTAAATAATTAATAAATTTTGTTAAAATAAAAAAATATTTATTTACATTTTTATAATGTTAATATAATGTATGCATTATTTTTTAATAAAAAATTTCTTACTTTTAAATGTTTATGTTGAACTTAAAAGACTGAGTTTAACATACTTCTATAAAATAAAGTAAAGTTTTCTATTAGTTATTCATATAAGATTAATAAAACTCAACACCAATAACTTAAATGAATAAATTTTTTATTTTATATGTTTATCTTTTATCGAACATTCAAATAAATAAATAAACAAACTATTAGTATTAATATTTTTATTATATTTTATTGTATATTAATTTTTATAAAATATTTTTAAAAGAAAATTTACTATTTTTATGATATAAACTATATTATATATAAGTCTGTTAGAAAATATAATTTTTAGTTTTTAACTTTTTTTATAATTTTAATAGATGTAATTTTTATTTACAAATTAATTTTTATAGTTAACATTTACATTTAAGTCTTTTATAAATATTTTTTAACGTTTTGATCCTTTTCATTTAACTCTTTAACATGTTAACATTAAAGACTATTTTACAAAATTTTATTTATGTAGAGACTAAATTATAATTTTTTTTTGTTACATAGGACCAAATTAAAAAAGTCCATCAAATATAGAGGTTAATAATTTAACCACATTTTTACAAGATTTTTTTTTTATGATTTTTGTTGGTTTTGAATATAAATTTTTTTACAAAGTTTTAAGAATATATATATATATATATATATATATATATATTTTATTATTGAATGATTTTAACTTCTTAATAATTAATATGATAATTTAATTTAAATTAGTGATAAACATGGAATATAATTAATTTTCTAAAACTTAACACATTAATTATTTTAATAATTTTTTAATGTGTGATTTAGTTGAAAGGGTTTTAAAAAAAAGAATTGAAAGGGAATATATGTTAAGAAGTCTTGCTGGTTCTTTCTGGTCTACGTCTACAGTTTACATTTAAGGGGCACTGGGCTTGTCAAAAGACTCAGCCTTAACTAATTTAATCTTAATCTAAGTAGCTTAAGATCGAAAAACTTACGAAATCCGTCAGTTAAAAATTATTTTAATTATTTTTAATAGAATAATTTTATACTATTTTATGAAATAATCTATTACAAATATTTACTTTATATAATATATTTTTTATTATAAATTTTTCAATAAATAAATTTTTAAAAAATTAAATATAAAATAATTACATGTTTATAATATTAAATATTTAAAATAAATTATTATTACTAAATAATATTAAATAAAATATAATATTTTTTTATCAAATTAAGTTACATATTTATCAACTTTTTATATGTAATAATAATTATTAAATTATATTAACATTTTATAATTTTTTGTTATAGTATTTTTATATTATTATTTTTTCTTCATTTATTTTCATAAAATCATTAAAAATATTAAATATTTCTTTTTCCTTTTTGCTGAAATTATATTTGGTCGGTGTATGGACATCTCATGTTTAACTTTTGGCTCATTTTAGTTTTATAGAATTTATTTTAATTTAAAGTGAATTAATTTGGCTTTTTAAATTTTTTTATCTTAATAAAAAATTTATAGTAAAATTTGATATAAAATTTGGTTGAATGCATCGAAACCACACTCATATACATTATATTTATATATAATTTTTTATTATTATTTGTAAGAAATAAAAATAAATAAATAAATAAATAAATAAATAAAAAATATATATATATATATGGACGTGATTTTTTTAAACTATTAATTTATTCGCCGTTATATAAATTAAATAAAAAATTTAAATTAAATATAAAAACTTTTAACTTATACATTGCAACAAGACTTTAAAAAAAATCGAGGTATATAATAAAAGGGATGTACTATGAGTTATGTTGATAGATCGACCTATTAGCAACAGGTCTATTACCAAAAGAATCTGCTCATTCGGTCTATTTTCTCAAAGGTCATTTTATGTTCGTTTATTTGATTCTATTTTTGTTTAAGATATTTTAATAGTTTACTGGTTGATATATTTTAAGTATATCATTATATTTTAAATGTAATATTATAAAATAAAATTGTCATTAATTATATTTAATTAGTTAATGCCATTTTAATTTTAATTTTATTAATTTACATTATTATTAAATGATTTTTTTGCCAGATATTTGATAGTAAAATTTACCATTAAATTAACAGTTTTAATGATATTGATATATTCAATCATCAAAATTGTGGTAAATTTTTCTAAACATAAAGCACCACAAACACTTTTACTAAAGCTAAATTAGAATATGAAGTTGACTCAAACTTCAATATATGATGAGCTCTAATGTGAACTCACTAAATTGTCAACATTTTTCGAAGCACAAGGCTGGCATTGCTTTGTCACTGCCCAGAACTTTTACTTGATTCGGCTATTTAACTTTACTACGCACTACGAAACAGGCTAATAAACTATTGCTTTTATCGATCTCAATTCTCAAGCTTTCTCTAGATTTACACCACACATTGTTTTAATGTTTCGATGATATGTTGAAGGGGAAAAAAAACAGATCAAGGAAAATTAAATATTCAAGATTATGCACTTTTTGAATCATACTTAATGTTAGTACTTGATTTTCACAGTATTGTTTCTAAGAATATCATGAAATGGAGGTGTTTGAGGCTTAAAATCACGTGTTAAACTAAAATAATTTCTAATTAGTTGAAACAAGTTGTTAATGCTATTTATTACGAGTTCTGAGGAATTTGTAATTTCGAAGCAAATGATCCATTGAATTGAGTTTCTTAAAGACGTGTTCTCGTGGCAGACATAAGTGCAGGCAACAGCGGGGAAACAGAAGTACCATATTTGTAAAAGTGAAGAATGCTGATGTTAAATTTGATTTGGAAAACATTATTTTCTTTAGAAAAATATTTTTTTAAGGACAAAGCTTGTGTTCTATGTTTTAGGTCTTAACAGTGTTATGAAATTAACTTTTATTTTAGTAAAATACATATATTTAATGTTATCATATAGACTATATCGAAATAAAACTTTAATTTTGATTAATAAATAATACTAACAATATTTAAGAAACTATCCTTAAATTTTTTTTACTAGGTTATTCATGTAACTCAAATGATGTAGTAGATATGGAGATATTGCGTTGTTGTTATTTCTATTATTATTATGATTAAAAAACACTTAAGTACTCACTGGCTACACAAAAATATAACCAATTACACGTCACGAAGACATAAAAATTCATGGAGTTGAAGCCATGAAAGTTACACACTACAGCACAGTTCTGAATGGTATTAAAAGATAACATCGAAAGAATCGACAGCTTCAATTCCAATTGGCTAAAATTTGTGCTTGCTTAATCAAACTCTACCTTTCGTGTCTTTTTTAGAGTTGGTGAGCGACTTTTTTTTTGGTTTCATATTTAATGCATAAATTAAAG